CACACACACACACCACAAAACACTATCTACCAATCTCTTCTTCCCAAACAACAGGTAGGATATATGCAATATTTAACTCTCACATCACATTTTTCTTTCCTTCAACATCCCATTTCTACTACCATATTAAATATAATGTATGGTTACCCTTTGAAAAAAAGTTTATATCTTAAAACAGGTATACCCACCTTTTCCAATGATCTGGTTCACAAGAAGGCATTCAACCCACTCAGTCAACTAGAAGCACTGGTGTTTTGAATTCCAATTTGTGTCTCTAAATGAGCAAATATGAAACACTATCTTAACAACTATTTTTTCAACTTCGCCCATTAGTTATATGTTCAATGATGAGAAAAACAACAATAGTCACTGCTCATCCAGACTCATAAGCGTCTCATACATCCAGCTCCTCCAGAGTAGAAGTAAAATAAATAAGACCACGACAGAGAGACATCTGGATACAACAAACATATGTTGAAGGACTTGTATTCCGAATCTTTATTCATGCTAGGAGCAACTGGTAATATGTGCCAATAGCACGGAAGTGGTAGGATTTATGATTTATCTGTTTGACGCTTTGCCAGTATATCGTATGACACAGTGTGAGTGTACTCAAATCATGAATGTGTGTGTGTGTGTGTGTGTGTGTGTGTGTGTGTGCCTGAATGTGTTTACAAGTGTTTTTGCATTTATACCTATGCATGCCTACCTGTGTATAAATGAGAACATTTATTGTGTGCATGTACATAATTATGTGTATCCATCTATGCATGTGCATGAATGCAAATGTGTGTGTATACATGTTTTTGCAATTGCATATTTATGTGCACACATCTGTATAGGACGTTGGATGATAATGGACTGCCCTACCCCTAATTTGTTTTTTTCATCAAACAACACTATTTTCACCACAGCGTTTTCTTCTGCTGCTTCCATTGGTATAAGCATATAGGTCCAGCCATACTGTTGCATAATCTGATATTACATTGCCTGTATCCACATCTGATAACCCTTCAACAACTGAGGCAAACTATGCAGACCCTGTTTTCTTAGAACCTGTTCTAGCACCTGTCAACACACTAGCCATTTTCTGAGGTGTGTTCAGACAGATCACTACTTAGCTCGACTCTTATTTTACTATCCCTATTGCATGTGAACACCTTATACGTATAAAAAATTTTGAAACTAAAGCATGGGAAGATGAGTTGATTGCAATGAGTCAAACAGTTATCTTTGACCACATATTTTGAACTTTGTTTGAAATTGCAAACGACATCCATTTTGCAGTGAGACCAGCATCGGACCGAAATGATAAAGATCGACAGTAATCTAGTGAACTGGGCCCCTTGTATCTGTAAACCTGTGTTTCAACAATAAACAAACACAACAGCCCACCTCCCTGTATACCCGCTGCTAGACTGAAAGTAAACTATCACGTAGGTAAAACTGACAGAGATATTGTCTGCTTAGGCCCTTAGACAGCAATTTTTAAAGGTTTTTTTTTTTTAAAAAAAAAAAGATCAAATTTTACCCAGAAAGGGCCCTTTCCCAGCTAACAGGTTGGTTCATTTGCATATAAAGATATAAACAAACAAATGAAGATGTCACAGGTATCTCAGTCGTACCTGGGGGTTATCCCGTCCATACGTCAATGTGACAACAATATGGGTGGCAATGACAAGACAACAGGGTGACAGATTGGTGACATCCGATACTCAGGGGCCTGTTACACACACAAAAAGTTGGTCTTTCCTCTTACACCACAATTTCACTTTAAGACAAAAGATGCATCAGTGGTCATCCATATAAGACCATGTAGCATTGTACTGGTTTTATAAAAAGAAATAAATATGATTTCTGTTTAGGACCTACAGTTACCTTTTACTAGTGGATCACTGCCTAACTTAGAAGAAAATTTGTTCTAAATGTTAGACCTACTTTGAGTCTAAAGTTCTTTTGTGACCCCCCCCCCCCCCCGCCCCCTTGGTCTCTCCATATGTAGTACAGCTGATCTTAACCTATGTATATGTTTATATACAGACTTACAGACTTCTAATTCACTGCTCACATGCAAGTCCAGGTTCCCCTACACAAGCATATGTATAAATGCACCACTGTAACATCATTTGTCTCACTATATGTGGATACAGTTTTTCTTATGCATGCATGTCATGTCAGTATGTGTCTTTTTAGGTGTTTCTTCTGCAATGCTCTTAGATAAGCTGCAATGCTTCTCTCTCTCTCTCTCTCTCTCATTTATTCCGCTTTCTCTCTCTCTCTGTTTTCCCTTCTCTATCTTAATATACACCACCTTAGTCTGCAAACTCACTGATATCACATTTTACTTTCCTTGTGTAAGCATCTTGAATAAGCATTTTGACTTCCATATGCCCACCTCTAATACACCTCTTTAGCTAACACACTACAAGCCTACTTCTTAATATCTTTTTGACTCCTACCTCTTTTTGCAAAATTAAATCAGTGCATTTCCAGGTCCTGCCTGCATGTCCGTTTTAATCAATACAGCATCATCACTAAACCACACCTGAATCTTTGACCAATCACCCCAATATCTGTTTTAAATCTACAGGGTGTTACCAAAGCTCATGTTTCCATAGACATATATTAGTACCGTAGGTAGAGGGGTATCCACAGAAATATACATACCTGTCAGCATCAGCATTAACTGTTATGGCAAATCAGGCTTAATTTTAGTTTAGAGGTATGCAATATATACATATTAAATATAAGGGTGTCTTCAATAACCATGCAAATCATCCATATGATACAGCATGCAAAGGGATCATTACAATAACCATATGGTTTCAAGCCCAGTTTAGACAAATTTTACGCGGAGTGACTTCCATCTGAAATGTTTCAACAGACAACTAGCTGTGCATGATCTGAGGCACAGTGGGTCTCTCTCTGCAGTCAAATCTACACACAGAGGATTTCCTCTCCCTCCCCCACCCACAACCAAACCACTCACCCTCATTCTACCACTGTGACACACAGTGTTTGCCTCTTAGGAAAATTAGGGGCCCAAAATTAGTTGCTGGACCGAAAGTCCAGCCATCTTGAAAAGTAGCTGGACTGAATGTCTGCAGGGTGGGAAAACTTCTCAGCCCGTTCTGAAGGTTGTCAGCCCCGGGCAGACGGTCCAGCCTTAATTTCTAACACTGGACTGACACATTTAAATTCAAGCTGAGTTCATCAGATTGTCCAGTGAAAGATTATAGCCAAAATGCTCTAAATGTAAAACTTTTGTCTTAATCCTGCTTACATCTTCATTTTAAAATCCACAAATGAAGTATGACATAAGATGTAAATCATGTGATATGTTCCATCAACGGTGTAATGTTAAATGCAGTGAAATTTCCTCAATCAATCTTAGATCTTCTTAAATGTGGATTTACCTAGATCAAAGCTAAAATGCTAATCTAAACCAGGCATTAGATGAAGTTTTATTTAGAAAAATGCTTCCTGTACCACAAACACTACACATTTGACTCAAATATGCCTGGGTTTACTTTAGCAACAATTCAGCTCTATGCTGGGATCCCAAAACAACTGTTGTGTCTTTTCTTTTTGCACTTTTTTGCACCCCCCCTCCCCCTCCCTGTAGTATTGCTATCTTGGCTTGTCACTGAATATCTACTGATTTTTTCAGTAGAAAATGCATTTTAATTTCAACTGTAACCATACAGTAAATAAAAATCTATTTACTTATTTCAAATATTTTGATTTTTTTTTTTTGGGGGGGGGGGGGGGAGGACCAAGCCCAGTGTGTGTCTGTCGTCTTATCAACCAAATTGAGGGGGGGTAAAATCACGTAATAAACCTTTCTCTAAGGTATGAAATGTCATTTCTAACACCTGGTAATATTGTCTGAAGTTAACATAACACAAGGATATCATGTTTTATTCATGACATGAGAACAGAATTCAAAGACAGAAATTCTGACACTGCTAGGTGTACCCTTTCTTCAAATGTGCTAACGGCATATTTGATGTCGCAATTATATTGTATGTGAGGAGAATTCTCATGCTTAACACTCCTTTCATATGCCAACTCCACTTCATAATCACAAAAATCTGAGGCTGATCTGTTCTCCCACAAAATTCAAATTGATAAACAGGTATTTATCATAATGGGACGGAAATACTAGTGCTTTCTTCTCAGGACATAAACTTTTTATGCAAAAAGTATCAATCAACTAGAGTGCACTCCTGGAGCGCAAATCCCCACAAAGGAAAAAAAAAGCAACAAAAAATTATTTTAAAAAATTAAGAGATCTGAATTCATTTTACACTGTAATCATGCCTTTATGTCTAAATTGTCTATCTTGTAAATTGAAATTTCATCAAAATGTGTGACAAATTTTTGGGGATATACTGTCCAACAACATGCAAATGGTAAGGAAACCCTGAGTTTCAAAGGTGACTGAACAAAATCATGTTGTTGTATGTTAACAGTGGAGCTTAGGGTCCATTCCCAATGAAACTATCATTACGTATAGATCGATCCAACTCCATCGGGACTCTTGCTGAATGCAATCACATAAACAGATTAACACGCCTCCTCTTGTTTCCAACATACTTGTATAATCACCAGCTTTTTTATTCTGTTCAATGCCAGGAGGCGTGTTAATCTGCTAATTAATCTGATATTCCCCCCCCCCCCCTGAGTCGGATTGATATCTGTAGAACGATCCCTAATAGTTTCCAGAAAACTATGAGATTCAGTTTTTGACTGTGTGTCAAAAATTCACTACCAACAATTCATTTTACTATAAGTTGGGTTATCCATCAACAAGGGAAGAGCAATTTTTCATCATTTTTTTTTTTTTCATCTACAATCCTTGAAAAACTGATGAGTGAGACAAACATTTTCACACAAAAAGAAAGCCTAACAAACACTTTCACACAAAACGAGAGCCTAACAAACTTTTTCATACAAAACAAAAGCTTAACAATTAAGACTTCAACAAATGGTCCCACCTCAGCCTGTTTCAAGTAAATCTCAATGGCGGAGTATTCGTCCCTCTGGCATATCCTGTTGCTTGTCATCCTCTCTGATTGCACATAAAAGTCATGTCATCATCTAGAAAGATAAAACAAACAAACAAATAAACAAACAAACGACAGTCAATAACAAGGTTCTTAAACTTCACAAAGCTCTCTCTTATAAAATAAATTTAACCAGAAGCTGAATGCATTCTTCTTTTCTTTTTTCCCAAATCTATCAGTGATTTGACTCATCAATTTGACTTGGCTTAACCTAGCCAATAGTTTGGCCTAAGGAAACTTTATTCCATGTAGTGAGCATGGCCAAGAAAACTACACTGTATTTAAATTCTGGATGGTTTCATCTTAACTTTAGCATAAAATATTCTACAAAAAAAATAGACATAAAGCCAAATCAATAAGTTGTGAGATGATTTTAAAACTTCTCATTTTCTTTTGCAAAATACCTTTTGAGCTGCCAGAAAAATCTAACAAGTCACTTTGAGTTAGGTAATATATTGTAACATTAGCATCCATTATCATTAGAAACAAGATTTAATCCATTCAAAAAGAGAAATCTGACTCAAGAACATGTCTCAATGAATTTAAATAAAAACATACCATAGAGTTTAAAAATTCACTTTCTTGCCATCAAGCTCAATCTATTTTTTTTTTCTTTTTTGCTTCTCTAAACATAATGACCACTGTCTGCCTCCTTTTATTTCATATACCAATATTCATTAATACTACAACACAAAGATCAAAAGAATGTTTGCCAATTTGAAAAAAAAATACAATTTCTCCTGTGAGTTTTAAGTAATTACCTTAACAAGACGTATCTAGATCTAATTATCAAGTATACTTTTAAATGTCAACTATAATTACTATGCCATAGACTGGAAGCAATATCAGCAGTCCTGGCTTTATCACTTAATTTTTATTTCCCGTATAAATGTCAACTGACGCCATAATGTTTTTCATTTATTAAAAAGAGTTCATCTATAGATTCTCTCTCTCTCTCTCTCTCTCTCTCTCTCTCTCTCTCTCATCTTTATCTTTCTACTTCAATGTCACTCCCATCTGTATTTTAACCCCATTGCTACATTTATTTCAACACACACTGTGACACAGACTATTTACTGTCCAAATATAAAATAAATTCTAATGGCTACAATGCATCATATTACATGATATGGTATATTATGTCCCTACAGGACACTCCTGCCATCAATTATTCCACTGAATTAACTACAAACTTTATTCAGACAGGTAAAGGTAAATTTGGCGTTTGTGTCACAGAAGGACCTTAGCCCTAAACTTTTAGATCTAAATTTCAGTCTGCTGTCACCTAAGATATCATTAGTTGATAAATGAATTAAATAAAATATTGTTAATTTAATATACCAAGAAAAGCATGTTGAAGTTTTAGACCAAAAGTTACTTTATCAAAACGGACTATTTTATATTAATTAAGATAATATTTTGAAATGGCGTAGAGACAAGTTTGTAGTCTAAAAGTTAAGGCCAACCTTCAGTCTGAAGTACTTTTGGGAAACAAGCCCTGATGCCCCTTACAATATTACCTGCACGTATTGAGCTAACCTTTAAGTCCTCAACAACAAGACACTGTCTTTATCCTACCTCTGGCCAAACCAAGATTTGGGGTTGTCTCTTCAGTCAACCTTCATGTTTGATATTAGCTAGGATTGAATCCCTCATATATATGAGATAGACCTACATATGGTCTCTTCTCCAGTTATGAACTCTATTTAATGTAAGTTAAGCCTTTAAATGCTTCAATTCTTTTTTTTTTTTTTT